CATTTTTTGTACCAGGGATCAAACTCGGGACCTTGTGCTTGCCAGGCAGGCGGCGGCACCACTGAGCTAAATCCCCGGCCCTCTTGTTGATTTTTTGTCTAGTTGACCTGACTATTTGTGACAGTGGGTCTTTGATGTCTCCCATTACAATTGTATTAGTGCTTACCTGGTTTTTCATACCCATTAGTCTTTTTTTTTTTAAATATATTTGGGTGTGCTGGTATTTGGTGCATATATATTTATGATTGTTATCTCTTCCTCTTGGATTCTTCTCATAACAAGATCCATTTTGTCTGCAGATAGAATAACCACCCCTGTTTTTTTCCAGGTTCTCGAAGTATTGTTTTCCTTCCTTGACTTTCAGTCTATGAATTTCTTTTTGAGTTAAATGTGTTTCTTGTATGCAACATATTGAGTCTTATTTCTTGATCCATTCTGGCAATCTATTTCTTTTGATTCGAGAATAGAGACCATTCACATTGATGGTTATAACTTGCAAGTATTGACTTATCCTCGTCATTATATTATTTTCCTATTGTTGATTCCCTTTCTTTCCTTTCTATTTAATTGCTTGCCTTGTCTGGTGGATTCATTCTTTGGGAATCTTGGGATTGTTATCTTCATTGTTTTTTTCTAGAATATCCTTCAGAAATTTTTGGAGTGCTGATTTGGTGATCATGAATTTATTCAGGTGTTCTTTATCATGGAAGTGTCTTACTTCACCATCAAATTTGAAAGATAATTTCATGGGGTTAATCAATCTGGGTTGGAGGTTGTTTTCTTTTAGTACTTGGAATACTTCATTCCGATTCTTAAGGGTTTGTGTTGAGAAGTCCGCTATGATTCTGATGGGTTTCCCTTTATAGGTGATTTGTTTCTTTTCTCTAACAGCTGTTAAGATTCTGTGTTGACTGCCTTGATTACTGTAGCTTTAGAGGAAGTCCTAAAATTAGGTAATAAATGTCTTCCAACACTGTTTTTTCTTTTTACTTTTCTAGGTCCTTTGTACTCTTACATAACTTTTAAATTTCAATATCCAAGTCTTCATTTATGGCAAGTATACAGGGCCAGGGATTTAGCTCAGTGGTTCCGGCACCTGCCTCACAAGCACAAGGTCCAGAGTTCAATCCCCGGTACCGAAAAAAAAAAAGAACTAAGTCCTATAGCAAGTATACATAGAC